GGGTGGATCACGAGGTCAAGAGATCGAGACCATCCTGGTCAACATGGTGAAACCCCGTCTCTACTAAAAATACAAAAAATTAGCTGGGCATGGTGGCGCGTGCCTGTAATCCCAGCGACTCAGGAGGCTGGGGCAGCAGAATTGCCTGAACCCGGGAGGCGGAGGTTGCGGTGAGCCGAGATCACGCCATTGCACTCCAGCCTGGGTAACGAGCGAAACTCCATCTGAAAAAAAAGCAACAAAAAACTTTGTCTCTACTAAAAATACAAAAATTAGCCGGGCATGGTGGCACATGTCTATAATCCCAGCTACTCAGGAGGCTGAGGCAGCAGAATCACATGAACCTGAGAGGCAGAGGTTGCAGTGAGCTAAGATTGTGCCACTGCACTCCAGCCTGAGTGACAGAATGAGACTCTGTCTCAGTTAAAAAAAAATAACAGAAAAGACTGTCTTTTGTTAAATGTTCTATGTTGCTTGTGGTTAGGCCTTTTGAAGTGTGTATCATTTATCCAGAATCACCTAAAATCTGGAAATCTAGAGCATTACTATCCAATAGAATGTTTTGTGATGATGGAAATTTCTCTGTCTCCTATTTAGCAGGCTGGCCATTAATCACATGTGGCTACGGAGCAATTGAAATGTGGTTTAATGTGACTGAGGAACTAAATTTTTTGTGTGTGTGTGATGGAGTTTCACTCGTGTTGCCCAGGCTGTATTGCAGTGGTGCAGTCTCGGCTCACTGCAACCTCCGCCTCCCAGGTTCAGTCGATTCTACTGCCTCAGCCTCCCAAGTAGCGGAGATCACAGGCACCTGCCACCACACCTGGCTAATTTTTGTATTTTAGAAGAGATGAGGTTTCACCATGTTGGCTAGTCTGGTCTCGAACTCCTGACCTCAGGTGATCCACCCACCTCGGCCCCTCAAAGTGCTGGGATTACAGGTGTGAGCCACCGTACCTGTCTAGAACTAAATTTTTAATTTAGCCAAATGTAAATAGCCACATGTAGTTTGTGGCTGTGGTACTGGACAGCACAGTTTACAGAATTATCTTGCCTCTCACTCTAATTCAGTGATTCTCAACCTTTTTTCTCTGCCTGAAAGATGCACATTTTCTGAGGGATAGATATATTTTTATTGGTTCCTATGGCAATGATGCTTAAATTCTGAACTATTAGGTCCTGTTACTCTGGGGAAGGGCATGTTCAATTTGGGGGAAAAAAGCCTCCAGATAGTTCTGATCTTTTTGTCACCTCCTAGGTGCCTGCTTCCTTATTCACTGTCCACCCTGAAGAATTATTGCTCTAAAATTTTTAATATTTATAGTTAGAACTCTAGGTAAGATAAATCTTACCTGATAGCCTGGTGTTTTCTATTTAAAGGTAAAATTGGTTAAAAGAAGAGCCAAAGTTTTAATCAAATCTTATATTAGGATATGAGTAATTGACATGATACATCCTGATTACTAGCTGCAATTTGAAGTCTTCCCATAATCTTTTTCTGTCAAATAGAGTATCATCCAAAGAGGCAGTCCTGGTGTTGATTGTGGGTGGATGTTGAATATAGGTGAAAAAACTTGGTATTTGGTTATCTCCAAGAAGGTATTCTTCACCAGAATAGTCATTGTAGCATTATAGTATTTCTTTGATTTTTCCATTTTTACTGAACTCATTAGTAGTGGTCACTTTTTTAGTGTTCTGTGTCTGTAAGCAGTTTTATAGAGTCCTATTTTATTCTTTCAATAGAATAATACATTTACTTAATTGTGATATTTCTTTGTATTCTGTTTCTTACAGTTGCTTCTGCAGGAAGCCTTTTTGGTGGCACGGTCCTCAAGAAATTCCTAAAAGGTAAAGATTTACCTAACTGTTATGAGACTGAATCTCTTCTTGACAATTAATTTGATATTTTCTGAAAGAGACTTATAATGAAAGAAAGAGTTGACAGATGTGTAAATAAAAATATAGGACACCCACTTAAATTTGAATTTCAGATAAGTAGTAATTTTTTTAACGTAAGTATGTCTCATTCAGTACTTTATCCTGCATTTTATCTGGCTTCTCTACTGAAAGATGATCTATTAATATAAAACTATATAGAATTGACAAGATACCTAGATCACTGTAGCTTTTCTGTATACTCTCTATACAACTTCAGGCAAAATTTTCCCAGATATAAAATAAAAACTTTAATAGATATTTGTTCTTATCTACTTCAAAGAAAGAATGTGTGGCGAATGCTTTTACTGTAAATGATGGGCTAGCAGTAATAATGTTTTCCACATTGTATTGCCAAAGTTGGTATGATTTAGGAGTTTTTGCTGACTTTTGTTTTAAGAATTTTTTTTTTTTTTTTTGAGACGGAGTTTCGCTCTTGTTACCCAGGCTGGAGTGCAATGGCGCGATCTCGGCTCACTGCAACCTCCGCCTCCTGGGTTCAGGCAATTCTCCTGCCTCAGCCTCCTGAGTAGCTGGAATTACAGGCACGCGCCACCATGCCCAGCTAATTTTTTTTCGTAGTTTTTTTAGTAGAGATGGGGTTTCACCATGTTGACCAGGTTGGTCTTGATCTCTTGACCTCGTGATCCACCCGCCTCGGCCTCCCAAAGTGCTGGGATTACAGGCGTGAGCCACCGCGCCCAGCCAAACATTTTTTTTTTTTTTTTAATTACGAATACTGTACAAACCAAAGGCTATAACATTTATTTTAAAGAAGTCAGAATTATCTTTGAACTCTTATGCCTTCATTTTTATTTCTTATGGTCGTTTGCTTCATAAGTATCGTCCATTGGCCTTTTTTTTTCCTAATGAGTTGTTAATTTACAAATTTTGCAAAATAACTTTTTAAAAGAAACCTTCCTAGACTAAATCTGGAATATTAACAGCTTTTTAAAAGCTTACATTTATCCTTGCTTTAAGAAAACATACTGTGGCCAGACTCAGTGGCTCACGCCTATAATCCCAGCACTTTGGGAGGCCAAGGTGAGTGGATCACCTGAGGTCAGGAGTTCAAGACTAGCCTAGTCAACATGATGAAACCCCATCTCTACTAAAAATACAACAATTATCCAAGTGTGGTGGTGCATGCCTCTAGTCCTAGCCACTCGAGGGGCTGAGGCAGGAGAATCACTTGAAGCCAGGAGGCGGAGGCTGCATTGACCCAAGATGGTGCCATTGCACTCCAGCCTGGGTGACAGAGTGAGACTCCATCACAAAAAAAAAAAAGGACAAAGAAAAGAAAACATACTGTGTATTAAAATGACAACAACTGCCAAGCACGGTGGCTCATGCCTGTAATCCCATAATCCCAGCACTTCAGGAGGCTGAGGCAGGTGGATTGCTTGATCCAGTAGAGCTTTTTGAAGTTCAAGACCAGCCTTGCACCATCACGAGACCCCATCTCTACAAAAAAAAAAAAATTAGCCGGGCATTGTGGTGGTGCACACCTGTAGTCCCAGCTGCTTGGGAGACTGAGGTGGGAAGATTGCTTGAGCCTGGGAGGTCAAGGCTGTAGTAAGCCATGATCATACCACTGCACTCCACCCTGGGCTATAGAGCAAGACTTGGTCACACACACACACACACACAAAAGGGAACAACTAAAAAGCTACATTGGAAAGGTATAATGTTATAAAATAAATGTTTATGAAATGTATTACCATTGTTTTTTAATGACAAGTTTTCTTCATGCTTTATAAAATGCAAATCAATTAAAAATTTAAATTTATGCCAAAATTTATAGCAACTTAATTATTACTTAAATCAAAGTACCTTTCTCTTTTTTTTTTAGGAGATAAATCCATTTTATTGTCTTATGTTATACAAAAATGTAGAAACAATAGATGTGTACAGAAAAGTGATAATGAGAGTACAAAACATATAATTTAAATTTGGTGTTTTCCCCCCATAATATTAGGATGATAATCATTTCAAAGCACATGTCTAGCTTCAGAGTAGGATTTGTTCACTGGCCAAAAGCCTGTCATAAAACTGTGGCTTTCAGTGCCTGTCTGCTTTACTGGCTCTTGACAAAACTTTTGAGATCTTCAAGAAAAGTAATGTACTCCTGGTGCTCCAGGGCTGTGCTGAGCTCCACCAACTCATCGGCAAAAGTGTTATCCACCCCTCAGTCTGCAAGGAAATCAGTTAGGTGGTCATATAAGGCCCAGCCCAGGGAATCTGTGTTGACTGTATAATTAGTATCCTTCCATTCAGACTCGCTAGCGGACCGAAAGCTAACTTCCCTGATAGAGAAGATGTCACTCTCAGCTTCCTCTTCTTGTTCAACCTCATCCTCTGGATAATGACAGTCCAGCACAAGGGCCTTCTTGCCATCATTCTTTATGACTTCAACCACGAAATTGGGAGTTAATGTCAATTCAGGCTCCTGTTTTTCAACCTTTTGCCCTTTCAAGGGGTCCTTGTCACCATCAAATGTTGGTTGGATGCTGCTGTTTTCCTCTTTTTTTTTTTGTTTTGTTTCAGGGATGCTGTTGTTAATGTTGAAAGTGACAGTGATTTTTTTCCCCGGAGCACTAATTTAGCTTCTGTGCCATTCAGTTCCAGCTCCCAACCTCCAGACATCTTAGGAGGGTTTTATGCTTCCGGATTTTCCTTTTCTCCTTAATTTAATCACTCAGGAAATCAACAAAAGCTTTGTCTCCTTTGGTGTGGAGTATGCGCAGCTGCAGGAGCAGAGCCTGAAGGCGGCCAGAGGCCTGGCCACTCCTCTTCCTCCTCATCCTCTTCATCTTTCTCATCTTCCTTCTTTTTCTTACTTTTTTCAGTCTTGACAACTCCTTTTTTTTGCTGCATCAAGCTTTCCTTTAGCTCGATATGCAGCAATATCCTTTTTGTATTTTTCCTTCAGCTTCACAGCCTTCTTTTCATAAGTCTGCTTGTCATCTGCAGCAGTGTTAGTCCACATTTCTCCCAGTTTCTTCACATCATCACCAATGGACAGGCCAGGAAGTTCTCCTTTGATTTTTGGGCGATACTCAGAACAGAACAGGAAAAAGGCCGAAGGAGGCCTTTTGGGTGCATTGGGATCCTTGAACTTCTTTTTTGTCTTCCCTTTAGGAGTAATACAGATTTTCATTTCTCTCTCATAACAGGCCTTGTCCGCCTTTGCCATATCTTCAAATTTTCCTTTCTTTTTAGCAGACATGGTCTTCCACCTCTCTGAGCACTTCTTAGGAAACTCTGAGAAGTTGACTGAAGCATCTGGGTGCTTCTTCTTATGCTCCTCTTGACAAAAATGCATATGATGACATTTTGCCTCTTGGCTTGCTGGATCTCCTTTGCCCATGTTTAGTTATTTTTCCTCAGTGAGGCACAGAGTTGCCCAGTGCCCATCCGGCTCTCACTTGCCCTGGTGCTGTCTCTATGGAGCTCAATGTACTGCAATGGCTGTGAGAGCGGGAGCCAGACACAGCCTCCTCACTCTCTCTGCTCTGTAACATTACTCCTATTATTATTTTTGAGACAAGGCCTTGCTCTGTCACCCAGGCTGGGGTGCAGTAGTGTGACCATGACTCACTGCAGCCCCAAGCTCCTGGGCTTGAGCCATTCTCCAGCCTCAGCCTCTTGAGTAGCTAGGGCCACATGTCCACAATTTCATGCCCAGTTACTTTTTAAATTTTTTCTAAAGATGGTGTCTCACTTTGTTGCCCTGGCTGGTCCCAAACTCCTGGCTGGTCCCAAACTCCTGGCTGGTCTCAAACTCTCAAGCAACTGCCTCACAAAGCACTGGGATTACAAATGTGAACCACCATGCCCAGCCAAGATTTTTATTTTAGCTCCAGAACATTCTGTGAGCATTTGGGAAGAATGTTCTCCCTTTAGTATTAATTACAGTGAGGATTTATTGAGCATTTACTATGTATTAGGCCTTGTGCTTGACTTAAAGGGGGTTACAGTAGTGAACAAGATAGATTTGATTTCTCTCTTTATGCCCGTAGTGAAGATATCTTATCCTATTGACTCCTTAAGGCTATGCCTAGAAGAAAGGGAACATCAGCTATTGTCCTGAAGAGTTTGCTCTGATTCTGAGACTTTTGGGAGATCAGAATCCAAGTTCAAGAATCATGGGCTGACTGCCTCAATGATACCTAGATGATAAGGTTTTCCTTGCTCTTCTTTTTTGAATTATGTCCTTGGGTTGATGCAAGGAAGGGAAAGATCATTCCCAGTGGCCCTGGCTCGCACCTGAAATCCCAGCACTGTGGGAGGCTGAGGTAGGCAGATTGCTTGAGCTTTGGGCAACACAGTGAAACCCCATCTCTACAAAAAATACAAAAATCAGCCTGGTATGTGAAAATCAGCTGGGTGTACCTATGGTCCCAGTTACTAGTGGGCTGAGGCAGGAGATCATCTGAGCCCAGGAGGTCAAGGCTGCAGTGAGCTGTGATTGTGCCACTGCACACCAGCCTGGGTGACAGAGTGAGACCTTGTCCCAAAAAAAAAAAAAAAAAAAAAAGAAGTGAAAATCTGTATAAATAAAAGGGAGTATATTATTAGCACTAGGGAGGAGATAGGAACATTCCCTAAAAAATAAACCCACACTTAATATGCTTATACAAGGAGTGGTCAGGCTACTTGTTTGACTAATATTTGTGAAAGTGCTTTGAAAAAAGTGAAAAGCCATGTAACTACAAGGGAATAGTTTTATTATCATTGTTACTCTTAGGGAGTGGGTATTGAGTTGAGGATCATTTATGGAATAACCACATATTCATGATGCCAGTACAAACTCTAGACAATTTTTGTCATGGTGACTTAGTTTTAATCTGTTATTTAAAAAACTCAAAGCAATTTCTTTTAATCCCTTTTTTTTTTTTTTTTTTTTTTTTTTTT